GGAGGAAGGGGCCGTAAACAAGAGCGCCCCCCCCGCAAAAGGAGCCACTCGGCTCTGCGGACAAAGCGTTGAGAACAGCGCGGGCTCCCACCCGCTTTCCCCAGGGAAAAAGCGCTTCCAGATTCCCCTTCCTGTCTCTTTTTTGTTCTTTCTTTTTTTTAATTATTATTTGGTCGAATAAAATCGAGCCCATTAAGAAGCGTCTCAGTTTCCATCTCTTCTAGAAAGACTTGGTAACAGCAGCTGCGACTCAGAAACTAGCTAGGCTCAAATGCAAACTTCTGTGCAGCCCTGTGCGGGTTTTGTAATCCCAGGGCTGTGTCCCAGGAGCTGTCTTGTGCTACAAGTAGCCTCACATCTCTGAGGATTTTTTTTTTGAGAGGGTTGGGGATAAAAGGAGAAGGTAAGGAATGTCCCTGGTATTCAGCCCTGAAAAACAGCCTGGGAAGAACAGTGGTGAAATACAATTTCAATAAGTCAGTAATGATTGCCCAGCTGTTTTCCTAGTTGTTAACCTTGTGAGAAACTAAGCCTGGGTAAAGTGATGCAGAAAAGATGGTTTTTTCCTTCTCAATCCATGGGTGTTTGAGGTCCCTAGGCTTTTCTGCTCTGTATGTAATCACTTGATTATTCTGTTTTATGAATACTAGGAAGTTATATCATTCTGTTTGGGTGGCAAACATTGTTCTCTAAATATGGTGGTATGGAACAATAACTTTGTACACGAGTACTTCCCAAGGGACACCATGCTTACATAAATCATCTGCAAAAAAAGAAAAGTAGTGATATTTCAGGTGGTTTCATACTAAAATAAGTTTTTTGATGTGATAAGTTGTGAAATAGGTAAGAGAGCAAAGGTCACTGTACATATTTTTGAATACAGAGTTAAGAAGGATAATCTTTTTTCTTATTTTATAGAACATTATAAACACCACTGGTTCCCAGAAAAGCCATGCAAGGGATCAGGTTACCGATGTATCCGGATCAACCATAAAATGGATCCTCTCATTGGACAGGCAGCACAGCGGATTGGATTGAGCAGTCAGGAACTGTTCCAGCTTCTTCCAAGCGAACTCACTCTATGGGTTGACCCGTATGAAGTGTCCTATCGTATTGGAGAGGATGGCTCAATCTGTGTGCTGTATGAAGCTGCACCAGCAGGAGGTAGCCAAAATAACACCAACATGCAAATGGTAGACAGCAGAATAAGCTGTAAGGAGGAACTTCTCTTGGGCAGAACTAGCCCTTCCAAAAGCTACAATATGATGACTGTATCAGGTTAAGATATAGTCTGTGGATGGATCACCTTAAAATGGATGGATAAATTTGGTTTTTACTTTGGGTGGGCACCTCTGGGGATGGATTATGGAATTTAAACCATGTCACAGCTGTGAAGATCTGGCACACGTTAAGAGTGGTGTACTTTAAAGTGACAGTGCCATAGTTTGGACAGTACCTTTCAGTGATTTAATAGCCTGTGAGTCAAAATGGTTACAACTTGCTAGGGAGTGAAGATCTAGGAAGGGTCAGTTTCTCCAAGACATCTTACTTAATTTCTACACCAATTCTTTCAACTCCAATCTGTATTTATAAAGTGATTCTCTGCAGTAGGTCTTGCAGAGCAAATTTGCACTATTACATTTATTAATTGTTAGCATTTTTGGCAGCTCAGTAACAAGACTTATTGTTATGAACACAATATACTGGAAATTTTATCTTTCAGACTTTTACCTAGCACTTACAAGTATGTATAAATGTACATAAGGCAAACTAGTAAGTATGACCTGGGGAAATGGTCAGATCTTTGTTTTGGCCTCAGAAGTAGCAAGTGATCAGAATCTGCCATGGCAACAGGCTTTAAAAAGACCATATAAAGACACTGTCTGAACTGTGGTGTTAGCACCAGCCAGCTATCTGTACATTTGCTAGCTTGTAGTTTTCTAAGACTGAGTAAACTTCTTATTTTTAGAAAGTGGAGGTCTGGTTTGTAATTTCCTTGTTCTTAATTGGGTAAAAGTCTTTTCCACAAACCACCATCTATTTTGTGAACTTTGTTAGTCATCTTTTATTTGGTAAATTATGAACTGGTGTAAATTTGTACAGTTCATGTATATTGATTGTGGCAAAGTTGTACAGATTTCTATATTTTGGATGAGAAATTTTTCTTCTCTCTATAATAAATTGTTTCCTATCTTGGCATTTTAATTAATCTCTTGTCGTGATTACATAGGATCAGTTAAACTATTTTTGTCTCACAGTAGATACAAAGTAGGCACTATAAAGGATAAGAATGTCAATGGCACCCTGGTGCTAGGGCACACTTGATGCAGACGTGGATTAATGAAGACCTTGCTATGTATAAATGCCTGGGAAGTTCAGGGAAACATGATATTTTACATGTCACTTTAAAACCTTTTAAAATCAGTCCATGTGGAAATAACTCCAGGGCCAATAATTCCAGGATATGAGGAAAAGGTACAGAAATAACATCCACCAAAGATGACTCGAATAAATCCAGAGGATTAAAGTTTACATGGCTTCCTGATGAAGGATATAGCAAACCTAAGGTGTCCATTTTGACCTACTTTGTCACAAGTTCTCAGTTCTTCCCTGATGGATTCCCTGCTCAGTAAGAGTTTCTGGGACAAATGTCCCTTACCCTTAAGAGCAGGTTAACCACTCTACAGAAAGGCTGCTCGCCTTTTGCTTTCTTCAGATGCAAGACTCTCACTTTAGAAATCGTTAGGATGGGATTCGACAAAAGGTATGTAGATCTTTTTTCCCAAATTTAAAAGGCTGGTTGAAGCTGAATCGAGAAGACCATAGTTATGTGTGTTTAATGAATGATGTGGAGATGTGATTCACTTACACACCACACTAATGTCATATGTACTGCACAGTGTTTATAGGCACCCAAGAAATTCCTTGCCACTTTTTTTACGCTTAAGTGCTGAAGTAAAAATCAAGAACTTTGTTCCTTATCTCCCGTGTACTTTGTACTGAAAGTGTTTAATAAAAGGCCAACCCACTGGGTCACTTTTGTTACAGGAACAAACACCATCATAGTGAAGGAAAACAAAACAATCATTACTTGCCACCCAGAATTTATTAGCTATAGATTAAAGTTCAGATTTGCCAGGCACTGCAGCAAGTCC